AGCCTTTATTTTTGACCTTGCACAATAGAAGGAATCTCTTCACCTCTCCTCCAGTTCTGATTGTGGCCAGGGCTCTAGCTCTATGAAGAGCCACCACCTTTCCTGCTAGAGACAGAATTCTTGTGCCTTGGTACTACTTGGAGAGGTGGGGTTAGCCATCAAGCTCACACATCAAGAGATGATCTGCTTTGACAATTTGTTTTGAGCCTACCACCTGACCAAACATTATCACCACCATCATCTGTGAAATATTAAGTTTGTGGAAGTAAAAAAGTGGTACCAAGGCTGATTGCTCTCTGTCAGTGCTGACTTATTTCTTTGAAGATTAAAGGGAATGATTAACTCAAACAATTAGGAAATGCTTTTACTTTTCAGTTTTGGGATTCTGGTGTCATTTTAGGTCAAAACTAAAGATATGTTAAGAACCCTGAGAAAATAGGCCTATTTTCTCAATTATTTTCTCTGGACTATGAGAAATTAAAAACCTTTAAAGCAAGGGAGCCAAAGTTGGAAGGAAAATAGATGTTATTGAACTTGGGTCTGTATTTCTGAAGTATTGCCTGGGTTGTTTTATTTTATGAAAGCAAAGAATATAAACATCATCCTTACGTTTATAGCTGAAAGTAAGCATTTTAAAACAATGTAATATGTATTTTTAAACCATTTTCTACTTTTTAATCTTACGTTGCACCCAAAGAATGCTAATGCTTACCAAATTGTTTTTTGGCGTAATAGACTGGACTTTAAAAATAAAAGAAAAGGAAAAAAAAGAAGTGTTAGAGGATGTGAGTGTCACACATGACAAAGTTATGATTCCTCACCCCTGAGCAGATTTCAACTAATCTGGCAATCCCAACCTAAGAGGCTACCTGAGAGCATTGCTCCTCATTGTACTAAGGATATTGCATGGTAATAAATCACAGCATCCATGGCTCCTAGTAGAGAAATGCTTCCTGTATTAGAGAGAGAAAAGTAAGGGCTTAGAGACTGTATCTGAACTTGCCCTTGAGCTACTCATCCTCCTCGGCTATGGGCTGTCTCAATCAGCACTAGTTTCCTCAGGAATAAAACATTCTGGCTCCAGGAGCAGGTTTCTTCCTATACCCTGTACAGAAGAGGATAGATATCTTGAATAACATGTGCTAAAAAGGGCGAGAAAACCAAACATGGCTTTGTCCCCTGCGACTAGCAATAACCACTTCGTATCTACACAGAGTGTGTCCCTAGCCAGCTCATGGCACACAGGAGAAATCTAGATGTTTGGGACAGCACATTCCTGAGAAGCAGCAGTTCTAAGAACCCAGCAACTTAGTTCCAGTTTCATCATGCACAGACATTTTGTTTCCCCAACTCCTTCATCATGTGCTAACAATTAGATAATGACTCCAGAAATGTAGAGAAAAGCAGTGTCATAGACAGTGGGTGGTTTGTTGTCTTGTTTATTGAAAGCATATGGAGATGTTTGTATATAAATAGAGAACAATAGAATCCTGCCTTCATGTTAACAGCAGCTAACACAACTGTACATAAATGCAAATCAAACATATCTCTACCTATGCCAGAATTCTGTTGTACTGGCATCAACCCATCCTGTCTTATTTGAAAGGATACCTTATTATTTTAACTTATTTCTAGTTGGAAAGAAATTTCAGATCCATGGGGTTCTTGTTTTTGTTTTCATTCTTTTTCTGTAATTAAACTGCTTTATTAGCAGAGATGATAAATTCTTCCCAAGTAGACCTTATATTAGGATGATGCATACTTAAAAAAAATTCTGCACATTTACTCCACCACGGTCTCGTTGTTTCTTACTTCAAAGTGAAAACTTGTGGCTGGAAGGTTAGAAGGCCTCCTTCAGGAGGCAGAATAGTAAAGGGTTGGGAACACATACTGACAGACATATCTAGGGGGTGTTTGTTAGTTCTTACTGTACTATTCACCAACTATACAACCTTCTCAATGGCTTGAAAATTAGAATTATAATAGCCGTGGTGTGTGTGTGTGTGTGTGTGTGTGTGTGTGTGTGTGTGTGTCTGTGTGTCTGTGTGTCTGTGTGTCTGTGTGTGTCCATACATGTGCCAGTACTGGAGCTTAAACACTGGGCCTCATGATCTCGCTTTTTCCACTCAAGGCTGGAACTCTACTACTTGAGCCAAATCTACACTTCCAGCTTTTTGCTGGTTGTTTGGAGATAAGAGATTCATAGACTTTTTTGCCCAGGTTGGCTTCAAATCAGGATCATGAGATCTCTGTCTCCACAGTAGCTAGGATTATAGGTGTTGGCTACAATAGCACTTAAAGTGCCATCGTAGAACTTTTAGAAGGATCATGCATTTCCAGTAAATTTAAGGTTGGGAAGAGGTATCTATTTATTTTGTTCCTGTCTCCAGGCAGAGGGGGTGCTAAACCACAATAGGTATCTGCAATTTTAACACTAATGTAACTTAATAGTACACAGAGTGATCTGCACAGCATTTCACCACTGTTTGGTTTGTAGAAAGCGTCACAAAAATGCTATCTATAAATCATTTGTATTGGAGTCATGGTTGACAATCTGCAATATATTGATAAGCAGTGCTAAGAACAGCAACAATAAGGTTGATTCTGTTTATCAAGTGATAATTGTATGCAAGCCTTAACAGTGCAGTATTTCAAAACCCATGAGTTAGATACCATTACCATCTCCATTTTATGAAGAGAGAAACTGAGACATGACACAGGCTGTCCCAGTCACACAATCTGAAGACTGATAAACACAAGGTTCCAATCCAATTTGGATTATCTCTGCTAATCCAGCAGCTACACACGTAATCTAAGCCACCCTTAAACACTCATTTACATTACTCACCGTGTGCCTGACAGCATCTTCTGCCACTGGACAGTGGCCTTTCCAGACTGTAAAGATTCCTGTCCATCTAGTACCTGTTCATTTTCAGTTAAAGAAAGCCAGAAAAAAACCTTAATGGCCATGTTAGATTCCCTCATAAATCCACTTTCACTTCTACAGAAGCTTTTTTTTCTTTAAACATGCTAGAATCTTCCTGTGTGCATTTATCTCATTCTACAGATGAAGAAAGGGGACATAACAGTGAGAGAGAGAGGCCAGTTATCTGCCTTGGTAGCTCACAGTGCCAGTTGGTGTGTCAGGAATAGAACAGAGTGGGTCCAAGGCTGTGTCCACTGCACCAGACTGCTCATTAGTGGTGGGTCTGACAGCTAAACTGCTAACTTGCTCCACTGTTGACCTAAATAGTACATAATTAGGAGCAATTTGCCCGTCTTTCTTATTGGAAACATGAGATTGGCCTGTAATATAGGAAGTATTCACATACAAGATTGCCTACTCTGTTATAGTTGCAAAAGAGATTGTGTTTTTTTTTCTCCTTTTTGCAAGGAAAGCTATAGTCCAGGATGGAAGGATAGAGCAAGTCCCATAAACAAAGGACAGGACTCCCAAAACACATTTCCAACTGCAGCACAGGAATGAGACAAGCCCTGAATATAAGACATGGATGCAAATATTTTACATAATATCTATTTTAATAATACAGAAGCCACACCTAAAAGCTAAGGTGGCTCCTATTATTGCATATGACTTGGGTCTGTTGCTGAAAACCTCAGTATCATGAAGATAAGAATCCCTTGAAACGAGTAGAATAATGTGAGCAGGCTTCTACTCTCATCATTAATCACCAAAATGCTGATGCTCCAGGGTCTTACATTTAGATCTGACAATGCTGGCAGTGTTGTCTTTGTGAGCTCAGTACATTTCCACCACAAATGTAAATAAGCCACTGCACAGTGGAACCTGCTTTAGGGGGAAATACAGCCCTCACATCATGATGTAAGTGAATAATCATTCTAAGGCACCAATGAGTGTTACTTAACCACTCCATTCCAGGCTAAGAATGGCATTATGGAGGTTTGAAAGTATAGGATTTCAGAGCGAGCTGGACCAATTGCCAGCTCCATGCATTTGAGAAAGTCACTTGACCTTACCTATTCATTGAAATGGCATCAGTCGTAAAACTGCCTTGTCTACATCATAGATTGCCAAATAAAACGAAGGGAGATTCCATTACTCAAAGGCAAATGAAGAATGAGTAGCAGTGCCATTGGAGGATAGCTCGGGCATAACTCAACTGATGGGGTTAATCAGTCTTGGAAAAGAACATGGTTTCAGAGAAACAGAGGGCTTTATATTTGCAAGTTAAGGCTGGGTAGAAATTTAGCCTACAGCCTGTAGAGGTGTCTGCTATATTCTAAGCTCTTGCAGTGACAACACTGGTTACATGAAATCACTGAATGCTTTCCTACCAGACTTTACAAGAGTTTACAAACTGGCAACCTGGAAAAGTTGCCTGCAATTAGGGTTTTACACCAGGGAGTGCAGTGTTTCATGTCTTGTTCTATTACTTCCCTCCCTAGGGAGTCAACAGATGAGACAACAACAAAATCAGAAACCCAAGACAAACCTGTCAGTTTGAGGCCTTTTAGCTTCAGCAGAACTCACAATTAAAATAAGATAGAAGGTCTCTTTGGAGAGAAGAGGTGCAGAAACAAGTCCACAGAGCATTCTTTCTTTCATATGAGCATGACCAAGACTCTCTGGAGATCTCTGCCTTGTAGGAGGAATTGTATCCCAGGATACAGCAGACTCTTAAGAAAATGGTTGAACGAATATTATTACTAGTAAAAACTAATTGACTAAATTTAATACAATTCTGTTTATTAGACTTTAAAAAATCCTTCCAAGTCAATCATTGCTTTTGGCAAATCCCAGGATGAGTAATTTTGCATTGCAAAACCTTGAAGTAATATGCAGACAGACCCCCAAGCTGGGCAGAGCAATAGCAACGTATGATTTGGTAACAGCATGCAAAGAGGCTGCGAATTTGGTTATTGTTGTTTAGTAGTTGCCAAGGAGAAAGTACAGAAGCAGCAGATAGGAACCAAACACCTCCTCTCTGTGTCTTGCTCTCTCTTGTTTTTCTTTTTAGGGAAATATTTCCAATTATAGTCTGGTGATGGAGTCTGACGCAGGAACCTTTCTTCCCACCGGGCTGCAGTTCAGTGGCAGTGAAAGGGCCAGGGACATAATGAAGGAGATCATGGGCTTGCTGAAGCATCTCAATGTCACCAAGGTCTTTACTGGAGGAGAAGGGACAGACATTAACTTCTGGATTCAAGCTGGAGTGCCAGGTAAGAATAACAATGAAGGAAATGTTCTTTACATCTGCCACCAGTTAGCAATAAAATCTCTGTAATCCTTCACAATGGTTATTGACTGACTGACCATGTGCTGTGTGGAAACCTGAAGCCTTTGTCTATCAGGAATAATCTGATGGCTTCCAATCCTGGGATAATGGTAGTCAACTGTATTCCATTATTGATCTATCTCCTCTTTCTAAATGATCACTGAAGAGATTCTGATTTAATGATTTTAAGATTCATCCTAGAAATAAGTTGTTCCATTTCATTTTGTTTTTATTTGTTTGTTTTAAAGAGGTGTCTTTGGTAGATGTAGCACAGTGATCTCACAATAAAAATTGGATAAACAAAAAGCAATACTATTCATGTCTTTCTAACTCAAGTCCTATGCTAAGGAACTTTCACTGACCCAAGTAATTCCCTTCCCAATACCATGGTATCTCACATTTTTTCTCCTTAATTTATATTTTTATTGTAAAGATACTGTACAGAGGGGTTATAGTTACATGAGTAAGGTAATGAGTCCATTTCCTATCGAGCTATTACACCCTCCTTTATTTTTCCCCTACCATCCCTTTCCTCCCCACCTCCCCAAGTCCTCCCTCCCCTCTCCCACCGCCCCCCCTCAAAGTTGTAAAGTACTTCTCATTGTTACAATGGGTCATCCTGAATCCTTATTTCAACATTTTGTTATTTCCCCTCCCCTCCCCAAATTAGAAAAATATATATACAAGATGCAAGACACTGGAATCAAATACAGTGTCAACAGGGTTGTACCATGAGGGAAGAACATACAAATTAAAAAAATTACAAATTAAAAAAATTACATAGTACATTATAAGTACATTAAAAAAACAGCAACAAAGATAAAACCTTTTGTGTCCCTGTCTTGGGGTTCATTTCACTTAGTATCAGGTTATATGGTCATATGTACATAGCTTTTTACCTCTTCTGCTTGTCCTAGACATAAACTAGTTATTGCAGAGAAGGGAAATCATCATGGGACCTATGTTTCTTTGGGCTTGGCTTACTTAGTATAATTTTTTCCAAGTCTTTCCATTTCCTAACAAATGGGACCATGTCATTCTTTCTGATGGAGGCATAGAAATCCATTGTCTAAATATATCACATTTTCTTGATGAATTCACTACTGAGGGGCATCTGGGTTGGTTCCATTTCTTAGCTATGGCAAATAATGCTGCAGTAAACATAGTATGGCCTTGTTTGTGATTATTTGGGCAAATGCCCAAAAGTGGGATTGCTGGGTCATAGGGGAGCTCTATGTGGAGTCTTTTGAGGAACTTCCATATTGCTTTCCAAAGTGGTTGAACAAGTTTACATTCCTACCAACAATGCAGTAGGATGCCCTTTTAGCCATATCTCCTCTGGCATCTGATGTTATTAAAGTTCTTGATTATAGATGGAATCTCAATGATGTTTTGATTTGCATTTCTTTCTGGCCAGAGAGGTTGAGCATTTCTTCATGTGTCTATTGGCCATTCTTATTTCCTCTTCAGAGAAATCTCTCTCTAAATCTTTGGCCCACTTATTAATCAGGCAGTTGTTTCTTTGAGGATTTGTTGTTGGGGAATTTAGTTTTTTAGTTCGAAGTGTATTTAAGATATGAGACCCTTGTCTGTTGTATGGCTAGTGAAGATCTTCTCCCAATCTGTAGGATTTCTTTTGATCTTGCTAGCTATGTCCTTTGCCATTCAGAAATTCTGTAGTTGCATGGAATTCCATTTGTCCATCCTTTCTTTGATTTGTTGTGTTTCTGAGTCTTTATTATGATATTTTTGGCCTGTGCCAAGGAGCTCTAGAGTTTCTCCTATTCCTTCCTGTGATGTTTTCAGGATGTCTGCTTTGACTTTGAGGTCTTTGATCCATTTGGAATTGATTCTGGTGCAGGGTGATATATGGGGATCTAGCTTTAGTTTTCTACAGGCCAAATTTGCCAGCACCATTTATGGAAGAGGCTGTTTTTCTTCCATTCTATTTTTTTTAGCTCCCTTATCTAAGGTTAGGTGATTATCAGTCGGTGGGTTCATTTCTGGGTCTTCAGTTTTATTCCATCGGTCCTCAGGTCTGATCTTGTGCCTGTACCAAGCTGTTTTGATTATTATGGCTTTAAAGTAGAGTTTGAAGTTTGGTATTGATATTCCTCCAGCTACTTGTTTTTGCTACCCGGGATCTTTTATTGTTCCATATGAATTTTTGGATTGCTTCTTCTATTTCCTTGAAGAATGAGGTTGGGATATTGATAGGTATCACATTGAATTTTTAGATAGCCTTGGGAAGTATTGCCATTTTTATGATGTTAATCCTCTCAATCCAGGAACATGGGAGGTTTTCCACTTCCTTAATTCTGCTATCATTTCCTTTTTCAGGCTTTTAAAATTTTCATCATAGAGGTCCTTCACTTCTTTAATTAACTCCTAGGTATTTTTTTTTGGAGCTATTACAAAAGGAGTTGCTTTCCTGATTTCAGCCACACTCTTCTCATTATTGGCATACAGAAAAGCCATTGATTTTTGAGAGTTAATTTTGTATCCTGCTACTTTGCCAAAGTTTCAAATCAGCTTGAGTAATTTGGGAGTGGAGTCCATGAGGTTCTTTAAATACAAGATCATGTCATCTGCAAAGAGGGAGAGTTTTACTTCTTTTTTCCCTTTTTGGGTCCCCTTTATGTTTGCATCTTGTCTTATTGCTCTTGCTAGGCATTCTAATACTAAATTGAAGAGAAGTGGAGAGAGTGGATATCCTTGTCTCATTCCTGAATTTAGATGAAATGGCTTTAGCTTTTCACCATTAAGTATATTGCTGGCTATATGTTTTATCTGACTTTTTTTTAAACCATTATTCATTCTTTCAGAATAAGATCCTTCCTGCTATGTCTTTTTTTTACTGGAAAGACTTCTGTTAAGAGTCTGAATGTAAACTGAATTTCTCTGACTGGTCACTTGTTACATGACTAGCCTGAAGGGAAATCTTAAGCCCTTGGGAGCAAGGATGAAATTGTAGTTATTTTATTTTACTTTATTTTATTTATTTTTATTTTATTTATTTATAAAATTACAATATCTTTTAATACAAAAATGATTTTTAAAGTTACTTTTAATTTTAATAAAATTATAAAATCTGGCCAGGAATATTACAGGAATAGAAGTCAGAACAGAATGAAGACAAACTCATGCATCTTCCACGACAGGTGATGGAAAATAACTATTGATATCAAATGTTTATGAACCAATATTGTTCCTCTCACATGATATCCAGAATCAAAAGAGTTATTGTTTGCCATGTACTGGTGGCTCACACCTGCAATCCAAGCTACTTATGAAACTGAGATCTGAGAATCTAGATTCGAGGCCCGCTTGGACAGACAAATTAGAGAGATTCATATCTCAAATTAACCAACAAAAAACAGAAGTGGACAGTGTCTTAAGTCGTAGAGCACCATCCTTGGGTGAAAAAGCCAAACAAGAGTGTGAGGCCTTGAATGTATGCCCAGATATATTCACACAGACATAGTTTAACATTGAACTGTTTAACATTAACTGTTTCCAGAACAATTTTCATGACTACAAACATACAGAACATATTCCAGGCTTAAAAACAATCAACAAAAAAGTATCTTAAGATCCTTGTGCTCCAGTTTTCTTTTTTCTTTTCTTTTTTTCTGCCTACAAAATGTGCTACATAGACCTAAGATATTTAGAAAGCATATTCTTGACATACTGTAGTTTTAAAAGCATACTTGAGGTTTTAAGTCTTAAACTAATTCTTCATCATTAAAAATAGAAGGGAATTTCCTTTATCCCAGTAAAGGACTCCAAATTCTCTCCAGTTGTCATGTGTATATTTTAACCGTATTTTGAATTTTTTTCTAACAACATTTCTAGTTCCAGTGATGTAAAATCTCTGGACATGAATGATGCCCCATGTATGTTGTTGATAAACATGATCAAAATATAGGAAAGCAAATTTCCCTCTAAGTAGTACAGAATCATTTGTTCAAAACTTTAACTTCCTTTCCTGGGCCTTATTTTTCAGCAAGAAATATTTAAAATTTGAGAACCCCTATGAAAGTGGCTGAGTGTGAACTGTGAGGAAGAGGCTGGTGTATCAGGGCAATTTAGAGACCTGCTTTTAAGGAGAGAGAAGTCAAAGGGGAAGTGAGAAGGAACTGAAACTTGTGTCAGAAGAAAGACAGAAAACACTCCCACCCAGCTATTTCTTGCTTTGTTGTGTTTGATAATGAGAACTGGCTCCAGTTTTATTCCTTCACATGTCCCTGCAATGTGTGCTTTGTGGAACATGAGATGATCTGGGAGTGGGATGGTTCTGTGTGGAATGAGCAAGTTGATTTGATTATTTTCACCTGAAGTAAGAAGGCCTTGTCCCTCTCCACCCCAGTGAGGTCAGACCGGATTTCTACCTAGTGACTGGAGTGGAGAGTTTGAGCCCGTTATAATTGCTTAAGGATTATTAAGTTACAATTTCTTGAATTTCTGCTTCTGGGGTAAATCCTTTAAGGTTTTTGCAGATACTGTCTTTTAACCTGTACTACAACCTGTGAAGTAGATACAATCATATCTATTTTGCAGATGAAAAAACAGAGTCAAAGGGGCTAAATAACTTGCACAAGATACCCTGCTTTACAATCAGATGTACAAGTCCTTATGTTGGTGTGGGCCGGGGGGGGGGGGGGGTTGGGGGAGAGGATTTGGTAGGGGGCAGGGGGAGGATGGGAAGGGATGGAGAGGGGAAACAAAGGAGGAGGCTACAATGCTTGATAAGACAAAAATGTACTCATTATCTTGCCCATGTAATTGTAACCCTTCTGTACAGTATTTTCACAATAAAAAAAAAAAGATACCTTGCTTTTAGGGTTGAAGTCACTCGGAACAGGCCATTTTGGTAGCCAGGTTAGTGGCTATTTAGTTCCCTGCAGCATACAAGAGTTCAGGGGAATGTTTTTTCTTTCATGC